CGAGTGAGTTTTACAGGAGCAGAGAACGAGAGTAGGTTACGCCGTCTGCACTCTAACCTCTGTTCGCAGGTCAGTGCGAGTGAGTTTTACAGGGGCAGACAACGAGAGTAGGTTACGCCGTCTGCGCTCTAACCTAAACCGGACAAGTTCTGCGGAGGGCAGACAACGAGAGTAGGTTACACCGTCTGCGCTCTAACCTCTCTTCGTAAACTGCGATTTTCAATAAACAACTGTGTTTTCCATTGATATTATGAGAGAACAACGCCCGATGAATCGAGTAAATCAATAAATTAACAATAAATGAATAACTAGCATTCAAAATAAGTGCATAAATAATTATGACATGAACTGAATTTTGAAAATTTTCGTAAATTTGATAAATCAAAATGAAAATCAACTTTTCAATGGTTACCTGCTCCAACGCTAACAATACTTCGTTGCTTTTCTCATTTGCTATTTGTTTCCAATCTGAATCCGTTCAGTAATGTCAATTTGAATATTAACGTTAATTGATCATTATTATCATCATCGTAGTATTTTCGTTATTCCATGTTGCCGTTACTTTTGAAACTTTCTTTGTTTTGTGAAATAATAATAAATAATTTCTTCTTTATTCGTTACACATTGATAAAGATCTTCAAATTTATACAATTTATAAAGCAGTGATAATAGCAACAACAAATACAGCAATTCACTTATGAATTCAATGAAAGTTCTCTTGTTGAAAGCCAAAAGCTTCATGTTCAAGAGAACATTCGAACGATCAGATGCAATGAAACAAATAAATCCTCACTGAAACTCTGGTTGCAACTATTCTCTACCGATAAACTCCAGAAAATTTCCAAAAATTATAGAAATCGATGAATTTTCATGCATTTTTCGTCAGTGCCGCTTGATAGGATTTCTTTGACGTTTCGAATTTATTTGTGCCACCAATTTTGTTGAGTTTTTTAACGGAACGTTGCAGAATACCGATCACATCAATATAATTATCAAAATGAATGAATTTAATGAATCTACAGCAAACGAAGAATCTTTCGTGGTGTTCTGTCACTGCGCGCGTAGTAGAATAACGTCCATCACCGTCTCGTTCCTCTTCAACCGCTACCTCAGGTTGGGGCGACAACCTCGGTGTAATGAGCTTCCGTCGTCGACGCCGTTTTTTTGGCGAATATACCGTAACATTACACATATCCAGATTCATCTGGCAATCACACATCAGCAGTGTGCCTTCAACAGAACACTTCTTCTCATTGCTATCAAATTCAAGTGAATAACAA